CCCTTTTTTTCCTTCAGCATTTGCTCACTTCATGTCTCTGGGTCACATTTTGATCAATATTTTAAAGGTTTTCATTATTATTATATTTGTTATGGTGATCTGTGATCAGTGGTCTTTGATGTTACTGCTGCGATTCCCTGAAGGCTCAGATGGTGGTTAGCTTTTCTTTTTGTTTTTAGCAATGTTTTAAAATCAAGGTATATACATTGCTCTTTTTAGACACAATGCTTTTGCACACTTAATAGGCAGCAGTAGAGTGTAAACATAACTTTTATATGCACCTGGAAACAAAAAACTCATGTGATCAGCTTTATTGTGGCAGTCTGGAACCAAACCTGCATTCTGTCAGCAGAAGGAGTCCCCCACCCTAGGACCGCCCCCCCCCCCTTAGGAGTCTTCTCTGGTACCCAAGACAAGATCTTACAAAAGAGGGAAGTCAGGTGGAGAAAGCGGGTGGGGATAGCCACTCAGGGCCAGTTTTCTCTGTTCCTGCCCTGGGCTTGAGCCAGGCTGCTGCTTCTCACCAGCATTGTTCCACTTTCTTCCCATCCTGCCTTTAGCATCATCCCCTCCAGGCCACTGCCCTCCTTGTTCTCACTGTTTAGGAAATAGCAAACTGGAATGCCGACACACTATTTCAAGCCTTTGCACCTGCTGACACCTTTCCCCTCATCTTCGTCTGGTAACAGCCACCCACCTACTATTCAGACTTCAGCTCATAGGCCACCTCCTCCAGGAGGCTGCTCCTGGCTCCTGAGACTGGCTAGCTGTCCGTCCCCCGCACTCCCCAGTACTGAGCATCCCTCTGCCAGCTCTGACCCCGTGCCACATTACCACCTCGCTCTCTGGCTACCCCCGCCCCACAGCTGTGCCTTGAGGGCATGGGCTTATTTACCTTTGTATCCCCAGCACCTGGGACAAAGGCTGGACTGTAGCCGGCCCTCAAAACATGTATGTTGAATAAATGAATGACTGGCTTGTTGACCAGCTCCCCTCTCCTCTGCTGCAATTAGTATTCTGCCTTAGAAACTACTGAGATGGTCAATCCTCTCCTGGAACCTGTGGAGCACCGGGATGGGAAAGTTTTCATGCCTGGAAACAAGGTCCTTTCCCACCTCAACCTTCTCAGTACGTCTGCCAACCACCCCCTCCCCCTCCCCTGCCCTCGGAGGCCAGCCAGGCCCCACGTGGCCATGCGGGTGTCCCTGCCCGGGATCCACGGAGCAGAACCTGGCTCTCCCATGTCTGGGCACCATGACGTCGAATGGGGCTTTGGGGTGCGGGGCAGCTGCGCTCTGGGTCAGGCATCTGGAGAGTAATGAGGGGAATGAGATGATCAAAAGGCTGAGGGAAGTCAGACGGAGGAGGCATCAGAGAAATAGAGGAGAGATGGGGTGAAGGGCCAGATTAGGGCAAGTGAGCTGGGGGGGCCAGTGTGGAGTGAGGGGGTTGCAGAGGTGCCCCATGAGGGTGGGAGCGAGGAGGAGGTGGGTGGTGGTAAGAGGCCACCTCATCTGCCTCCACTAGGAAACTGCATCACAGAGGTGGGGCTGGAGGCCTTCCTCACCACAGTGCAGTATCAGGCGCAGTTCTTCAAGTCCAAGACAGCATTCAAGGGCCCTGTGGGACCGCTGTGGCTGTGCCTGGAGGTGAGTCCCCAGCACCCTCACCTGCTGCAGCTGCTGCAGGGGCTTCTGTGTCCCCACTGCCAAGACAGAGGACAGTAGTTTCCCTTATTCTTTTCATCGCAACACAACCTCCGCCCCTCTTGCTGTAAGATTGGAAGTCACACTCCTTTTGCCTTTTCTCCATGTCCTTCAGCACTAACCCGCCCTGTCCCAGGATGCTTTTTTCTCCCTAGACAATGAATCTTCATCACTTTCGTTAGCTGTCAGCCTTCCTTTTCCTCCTTCAGAAAAACTGCTTCTCCCCACAATGTCCTGCGTACATCATGATCCAGAAGCTGATGCTGACCAGCGACCCCAACAGTAAGGCCAAGCACAGGGAGGAGGCAGCCACCACTGCCTCCACCTAGCCCCAGGCCCCCACCTTCTTCCTGGAGATTCTGGGCCATGGAAGCATCTCCTTTCCATGTGTGGACTGGACCTCCGTGGGGAGATCTCGGATCATTAATAAAGTCTATTGATGTACTTTTTCCCTGAGGTTGTCTGAAAACTTTGTCCCAGAACTACTATGAACATCTGGATTTTGAGCCTGTTCATGATACATGGCCAGAAATGGTCAAATTGCTTTATGGTTCTGCAGGGGGTGACCTTAGCCTCTGGCAGCAGCCAGTCAGGGGGGTTGCTCTCCTGCCTCCTCAGGGCAGAGTTCTTGCCGGCCCAGGCCGGAGTCACCCGCCCCCTGTGCTCCTTAGAGGACATGTGATACGCCAGGGTTTGCACTGTCTGGTCTCAGAGGCAGAAGGGAAAGACTTGGGACAGTAATGGACAGGCACAAGCAGAGTGGAAGAGGGGGTGGGGCAGAGGGATGGGCTCCATCATTCCAACCTCCCGGGCCCCTCCCACTTCTGCTGCTCTTGTCTGGCCCAGGTGTCTGGCCTGGTTTGGAGGAGAGGCAAGGGCTCAGCTTATGAAAATGTACAGAGCTAGTGGGCTGCTGTGGAGAGGGTGCCAAGTCTCTCAACATCTATGCAGCAAAGGCCAAGCACTAAACATGAACCCTAATAATACTGTCTGCTGCTGTCAGCGACCTGAAACCAGGACCACCCAGATGGTGTAGGGGCCAGAGGAGTTAGGAGAGCTGGGAACCCTGACTCTTCATCCTTCAGCGCTGCCTCCACTGAGATACTGAGGTGACCTGACTGCCCAGACAGCACAGCGCTGGATTCTGGGGAGCTGATGTCCACTCCACAGGGAGCTTCCCAAGAAGCGCCCCAATTCACTTGGTCACCTGCTCTCCCTGCCCAGAACTCCCCCTCCGCGAGGCTCCGTGGCTCTCACGGTCCTCTCTCTGCCTCTGACCGCCTGGGCTGCTCAGCCTCTCTGCGGCCGGCTGTTGAGCTTCTGCAGGGAAGACGGATCAGCTGCCTTCCCAGCACTGAGCATGTGCAGGGGCTCGGTGATGATCAGTCACCCCAGCCTCTCCAGTTATCCCTGCCTGAGTCCTTCTAAAGCTTCCGCGAATCCTCACCGTCCTTGTCCTCATCCCTACACTTATCAGATAAGAACGACATCTATTAATTCTGAGGCTCAACTAGACTGTAGGCTCCTGAGGTCGGCATTATGCTACGTTTAGGAGGGAGAATGTCAGACAGTTGGGGGAAAAACCCCTTGGTCCAACCACGACAGCAAAGAGACGGAGGAGGTTTAGATGGTTACAGTCCTGGAGATCTGGCCGTGTCTGCCGGGCACTTCCAGGGGGCGTCAGAGCCTGCGGGAGGACACAGAGGGCCAACGACAGAGAGCAACTGGCCAGGCCTCTGAGATGACCCTCCCCTGCCTGCTGCCTTTAGTCCTGAAGCTCACTGAGGGCAGCTCAGGAGGCCTTGTTGACTCTGCTGCTACTGCCCCTTTGTGTGTGTATTTATCTAAGTGAGCTCAGTGACTTTTCGTGTTTTGGTCACGGGGGCTGTATCAGTTTGCCCAGCTACAGTCCAGTAAGCAACACACATCTGGAGTTTTGGGAGCGAATCTGGCAAGGCCTGGGTCTGGGGGCTGCCTTCTGTTCCCTCTGTCCAATTCTCACCAGCCTCAGAGGGAACAACCATGGTATCTTTGATCACAGCGGTTCCAAGAATCACACACACACCACCACAGTTGAAGAATATTTAACTTTTCTTAAAAAAAAATCTTAACCATGAAAGGAAGAAAATAAAAGAGTATACATTATTTTAACAGCAAAAGTCATTTCCATATCTATATTTTATATATTATATATATATTTATATATATATATGTATATATACACCTAGCACAGTGTGTATATTCTATTAGTCAGTGGGGAGTGGAGTGGACGTGGTAAGAGGGGCCAATACTGCAGTGGCCCCTGGGGATGGTCCTAGGTTAGTTTAGGGGCTCCAGCATTCAAACCCCCTACCCCCACCTCCTGGGGCCCAGTTTTCAGCTCCGTACCTGATACACTGGTTTTCTACAGGGAGAGGGTGGGGAAAGGGGGACACAGGTGGGGCAAGAAGTTCCCCTGAAGATGAGAAGCCCTCGGAGGGAGGGAGTGGCTCAGCACCGAGCGGCAGAGGCTGGGCTCCGGGGCCAGATGGGCCACAGCCTGGAGGCCGCCTCGCCCACAGGGGACTGGGGTGCTCACGGCTGGCTCCACTTTGGGCCCTGATCCTAGAGCTGGGCTGCTAACAAGGAGATACAGACCAATCTCCTCTCCCCTTAGCAGTCCCTCTGTAACTGCCTCCAGCACACCAGGATCAGAAACAAAAATGGTCAAAGTTATTTACAATAGCAAAGATGCACATACAATACATACATATTTATAGGAAACCAAAGTGACAAAGAGAGAGGTGGAGGCACCCACCTCAGCCTTGGGGTCCTGTGGAGAAAGGGGTGGAGGAAGAAAGTGCATTTACACTGGAGAAAGGGGTGGAGGAAGAAAGTGCATTTACACTGGAGCCACCTCCCTGCCCTCGTGCACAGAGGGCACCCACGCAGACAGGCACGGGTATGTTCTTGGGACCAGGGGGGCCTTTCAGATGCAGTCAGCATGCTTAGGAGTTAGGCTGAAGGGCGGGGAAAAGACACTGAAACTTGACTCCAATCTGAACAGACCAGGCAACATGCGGATCTCCCCGATCTCAGGTCTCGGCTGGGGGGCTGGAGCCGTCTCCTCAACCCCGCCTCTACTACGGGGAGGAGGTTTGGGGTCTCCTCACCCCATGCCCTGCCTCAGGCCAGTCCCTAGAGGAGGAGTGGGGACACAGAGGACTCGGTGGTTCGGACAGCTATGGTCCTGGGGACGTGGCTGCGTCTGCCGCGCCGTCTTCCAGTGGGGTGTTGGGGCCTGCGGAGGACGCAGGGATGGCAGTGAGGAGCGGCTTCTGAGAGGACCCTGCTCTGGGTTTCACCGAGAAAGTCCTCGAGCTCCTGAGAGCAGCTCTTTAGCCCCATCCCTCTGTAGCAAGGCATTTTCCTCCTCCAGAAACCCTAGAGTTCCTTGTGGGACCTGGAAAGGGCTGCCCACTGAACCCCACTTCTGTTTCGCCAGCCCCCAAAGCCCACAGGGAGGTATGGGACTGTCTTCCTGAACTAGAACACACCATGGCCCTGGCCCACTCCGCCTGCTTCTGGACCACTTATTAAGAACAGGTTTCAGACTCGAGACTAGGCTTCCCCTGGTCTGCTATCTCCGTAACTTGAGGAAAAAGAGGGTTCAGTTCTGAGGGAACTTTTCAGGGGAGCTTCTGTGGGGCTTCCCTAAAATGACCTCTTTCTGAAGCTGAGGGATTATACTCAGGGGGGAAATGAGACTCCCTCCAGAACTCCCTTCTCTCTCCTCACACCGTGACATTCCCTCACAAGCTGCAGGCCTTCTCCCTGCACCCCACCCCAAGCCCGTGGGGCTTCACTCACCATTCTCAGGGTAGGGCCGCAGTTCGTGGCTGTCCCGGGATTCAGAGGCTGGGGGCTCCTTGGCTGGAGGGGACAGGGAGCTGTCTATCCCTCTAGCTGCCTCTGTGTGGAAACTACCCACAGGTGTGGTGCCACCAGACGACTCTCCCCCGAGGGACCTGAGTAGCTCTCTGTGGGCCAGCTCCATGTCCTGGAAGAGTTGCAGGGGGACGTCTGTTCGTGAGGCCCCTGGGGAAGGGGCATGCCTTCTTATCTCCCAAGCCTGGGGGATGGGTCTGTGCTTGAGGATGGCTGGGTGGGCTGAGCGTAGGGCCCCAGGCCAGGATCTAGGGCTCCCACAGAGACACACTGTGCAGCTCCCTTGTGGGGGTGATGGGTCTCGGGGCGATGGGAGGCCTCCAGGGACCCAAAGCCTCATCTCCCTCACCTTGAGCCTGTTGAGCTTGAGGGTGAGTTGCTCGATGGTGCGGAAGATCATGCCCACGTCCCTGAGGGCCAGGCTTGGGGGAGAGCGGCCGGGACATCTGTGACCGCCACTGCCTCCCTGTAGCAGGGGCCGAGGCTCCGTGTGCCAGGCAGGGAGGCCATCAGGCTGGGACGGGCTGGTGTGTGCCCCTGAGGGGTCGGTGCTTGAGTCTGGGGGTCCTGCTGGCATGCTGACGTAAAAGCAGTTCCCTGTTCCCAGCAAGACAAAGAGATTAGGAGGCCAACACAGAAGAAGTCTAAGCCATCTCTGCTCCCCCAGTGATCCCCATGCCGCCTGACAGGGCCAGGGATGCTGTCCTGCAGACGAGCTCAGAACAGGCTGGCCTCACGCTGCCCATCAGCCTCCTAAAAGCCTTTCCCTTCCAGAGAGCCTTCTAGGCGGCAACTCTGCCCAGCCTGGCCCACACCAGGGGAAGATGCTCAGTGGTGGAAGTTAAGGGAGAAGGGGCAGGGTGGTTGGGTTTCCTCTGGGAATCAGGGGAGTGGCTCCCATTCCTGGAAGGAAGGGTAAAGGGGGCGGGCTGGTGTTAGGCCCTTCTGAAGAGGAGTGGGCGGGGCCTCCTTCATTCTGCCTCATCTTAGGCTCTGCTGATGAGATTCAACACAGCCCCTGCCCCACATGCCAACTAGTTCATGATCCAAGAGATGCCTTGACTCATCAGAGTGGGGCCAGGGACAGCTGGAGGAAGGACGTGGAGGATCCCTGACAGGGCACTAAGCACAGCTAAATGGCCAGGAACCTGGGAGGGAGGCCATGTAAGCCCTTTGCCACAGTGACACTGAATGGCGGCTGGTGTGGGGGAAGCGGTGGCTCAGAACGTCGGGCTCAGGATGCTGGGCCCTGAGCACTGGGCCAGGCTTGCCCACTCCCTCTCCTGACCAAGTACAGGCTGCTTAACCCCACTGCTCTGAAGGGGGCTCGTGTGGCTCTCGACAAGGGGCTGGCACAGGGTCTATGGCCCCGTCTTTAGGCCCACATCCTACCCCTCACCCATTCCAGGCAGTTGAGGGAGTGTGTGTCCAGGAGACCCAGGCAGGGGTCTACCGCCTGAGGCCCAGCTCGGCCCCCATGGGCCCGCATTCCGCCCTGGCCTGT